ATATATATGTATATGTATATATCTATATATATATCCTATTTTTGGAACCCACCAGGTTATATGCTGTGAACGCGATGGAAAGCCCGTCAAGAATGCTGTTCGTGAAAGGACTCGTTGCCATAAAAGGACACTTTCGTCTGCCCCGATTGCCCTGAACATTAAGCCAGACGTGCAGGTACATGCACTTACGACCTTTGCACTGACAAGTTTCTCCAGACACAGTTGCGCTGAAGCACTCAAAGACTGAAGCAATCTACATAAAATTATACGGAACACTATCTTTTTATAAATTACTAAAGAGCACTTGTAATAATTTGCTTTAAATTAACAATATATTTAATGGATGTACCGTTGTCTCTCTTCTATTGAAGAGAGATTTTATATATAAAGTATAAAATATAAAAATATAACGTAAAATATATATTTTAAATGTAAGATAACCATCCCCAATATGATGACCTAATATACTTAATGTAACCGTTCAGAAATGTTTTCTCTTTTAAACCTAACTTTTCTCTTTTAAACCTAATTTTGGACGCAGCAAAAAATTGAATTGATTAGAAAAAATGCAAAATCTTAGATGACCATATTGTCAGTACATACACAACCATATTGTGAGTACGATTAATTTATTTCAATTTTTTACATAAAATAAAGCAAAGCACAAAATTTATATAAAATTAGAATTTTCACGAAATTTGATAAAAGAAAATCCGACTTTAATGTTAATTTTATAATTACTTTATAGGTATCTTTATTAGTAAAGTATTGTAATAAAATATTGTAGTAAAGTATTGTAATACAGCATGTTGATATTAATCACATTTTAAATTCAATAACGCTGCATATTTAAAATTTTATTTTGATAGTGCAGAATGAAATCGATGGGCATTGGTAGCTGCGTATGAAATACTGGTCCGTGTCCAAAAGGGTAGTCCATGCTCCCGGAGGTTGTATTTATACAACCCTTCTATTGTTCAGAATAAAAAGAGCATCTGTTATTATTGAATCAAGCGAAAGTTTATCCGAGGCGAAATCAAATCATTCTTTATGTTTTTGTACAAAGTTAATTTCAAATGCGTCATGGGAAATGCAATTATTTTCATCACGTACTCATTCCCTGGAATTTTCATCTAACTGATTGAAACCGGAGGCTTAAAAACGATTGCTCAATGATTCACGCGCGACTAACTCAATTCATCAAACAAGTCGCTTTTATCGAGGGAGAGGCACGCTTCGCCGTTCGGGTTAACTCCTTTGCATAAGATCCCATCGATAAGAATTATCACATCTATTCGATTAGAAGGAATGATGAGGATAGAAATTGGATCGAATTACAATCGGTGCTATACGCAAATGTATATTTACAACTGAAAGAATTTTAAATTTTCTACTTGAAAACATTAAATTAGCATGTATAT